CGATTTACTGTGCTCTATTAAACGGTCCAGCAAATAATAACAGATATATCAGATTTCTTTGTTTATATTCTTCAAACATCCTTTTTTGGAAATGTATAAGAAAATTACCTCTACATGCAAGAAAAATAGTCTGTCAAAAAATTATTTGTAAGAGATATTCCTCTTGTTCGTAATTAGTTGTTAAATTCTGCAGGCAATGTCCTTTTTTGGGAAATGAGGATTGTATACATTACATTGAACCATAATCTAATATTTGGGAAAGTAGCCTTTAGGATGGTTTTTTATTTGGTATAGCTGGCTGTTAAAATTAAGCATGTTTATGCAATGTCACAATGTATAATAAAATGATCACCTGCCATAACACAGCTTGTCCAGAGCACCTTGCCCTTCTCAAGCAATGTAAATAAATGTATCTGGTTTAGATATATGGTATTTCAGGAATGTGAGCTGATTCAGCAGTCAGTACTTTTTAGGGTCTTTAAGTGAACTGAACAGCCTATTAAAAGAGAATAAGTTCTTTCTTCTTACAATTATTTTATTAATTTACTAGCCACTTAGTCGAGAAATGCCCATTTAAAAATAAGTTTGTCTAAATGTTTTTTGACCTCTGTATGATTCAGAACATGCTAGTATGCATGTCTAGCCAGTCAGACATTAGTTTATCTGGACACATATTATTTGGGAAAGTTTGCCATCTTACCAGAGCGAAGCATAGGAGAAGACAGTGTAAACCATTTGTGGATTTGGGGTTATAGGAGGCAGATAGGTGCTGATCCTGGACCATGAGAAAAAAAGAGGAGGCAAAATGGCAAACTAAACTTCAATTAGGGGAAGCAGGAAAGAGACAGCAACTGGCTCTGGACCAGAGAAGCATAGAAAAGGCAGAGTTGGATCCGCTCTACCAATTTTACTCAGCAGTTAAGGATGCCACCCTTTGAACTTTTTTGCCTGCAGCAGATGTTACATTTTTTACACGTTACAGTGTACCACTACATATATTACTACACAAACACTTATGTATCGAAATGTTTCCACAGGGAGAGGAAATTGATGAGGCAAACTGGTCTCGTATAAGGGTATCATGAATGTTGCTCTTGCAGATACAGGCCTTAAACTGTTCTCCAAACGGAATCTTGTTCCCGACTGTCTCTCCAAGATATACTAGGGGTCCTCTTCACTTTGCTTTCGGGGCTGTGGACAGATGGCTACAATATATCATACTTGGTGTACATGTGCCAAAGTTGGGCGGTTCTGGATAAGAGTACATGGATTGATTTATTCAGTAATAATGGCAAATATTGCCAAGAACCCTGAAGTTGCCCTCATTAATGAATCTGTGGATAGTGTTCCCATACACTCTCAGACCTTAATATTTTCTGTTTCTTGTAGCAAAACTTGCTATAGCATCTGTCTGGAAAAGCCCGGTAGTGGATCTGGCAGTTATAAAATGTAAATTGACCCCACCATCATCTTGCCCTTTTACCCCAATCATGCTCAGACCTCCTCTCTTTCTTCACTTGCTTTCAGTCAAAAGCTGTGCGCAGAGAGCAAGTGGATGGACCAAGCCAGGCTGTGTGTCTGAACAAACGCAAGCAGCTCAGCTCTGAAATGAGCCTGCACAAGTAACCACCATAGGAAATGGCTTCCTATGGTGGGCACTCGGCAAAGGGAGGAGCCAGGAAGAAAAAAAATCTGGGCTGGAATGTGCAAAACTATTACACAGAGCAGGCAAGTATAACATGTTTGTTATTTTAATGGAAAAACTGGGAAGCTTTAGTATCGTTTTAACCATCTCCTACAATATTGCACTCTCCTCTTGCCACCTTGATCCTCCCCTTCCAATAGTACCCCTCTTTTCTCCTATTACTCTGCACCCATTTTCCCTCATCCCCACTCTCTTTTCCATGCCCCCATCAAACTGAACTCTACCTCTCACCCCGTCTGCCACTCTGCACTCACCCTCCTCAGTTTCCCCTGCATGTATGCCCTAGATATTCGATTGTTTTGTGCTCTGTTGAAACCACCTTGTTGTGCCATGTTCTCTATACTTCTGCATCGCATAAGTGCACTTTCCCAATTGCCAGCTATGGGTGAATTCAGTTGACTTAATTAAGTCTTATTTATTCCTAAATGTTTTCAATATATTTTTTTGTTTTGATAAAATACTGACTCATGTGCAATAAACTAAAGGAGGAAGGAGGTGTGGTTTGGCAACTTTGCCCTGGGAACTGGATGACCTTGTCCTGACACTGGTGGAAAAACACCCTATTAAAAGTTGAATATTTTGAATGAAACCTTTGCACACTGCTATACAATTATATTTCTAGCAAACCTTTACTTTAAAAAACAGGGATTTTGGTTCACATATATTGCAATACATGTTTAAACTGGTCAACTGCTCTGTTGTGCAAAATGGCAAATATTTGGCCAGAACATTGGTTGTTTAGGTGTTTGTTCAAACTCTGGACTGTGTGCTCCTTCTGCAAGATCCAAATGTCATATAAAAGTATAGTAGAGTGTATTGACCGGAACTATATGTGACAGCTTCCTTCCAGTCAATGGGTTGTTAAAGAGGCTGCAGGTGAAGGCACCCACTGTGGTCTTAGCAACCAGTGACATAACCAAGCCCTATTCATCAATATAGTGTAAGGGTCTACCCAAACAACTCTTTCACATTATGTACAATCAGGTAAGCTGTCACACTACATATATACAGTATAAGATAAGTTTTGTTTATTTGCAATCTGCAACAAAATCTAACAGTTTAGCCACAATTTATAATTCATGGCTGTTATCATTAGCTTTTTTTCACAATTTATCTTCTGTTTACATGCAGTGTTATAAATAATTACTTCTTGAAGTAAATGAACCATTGACATTTCTTCTCAATTAAATAAAAGTCAGTGTTTTTATGATGCATGAAAAATAACCCACTCTAAATAATACCTGTATTCAAATGATGTATTCTTTTAAGGGTAGAAGATTAAGTTTTGAATCAAGATTTATTAAAGCGGAACTTCACTTCTCAATCAATATTGACTATTCTTACACCCTCCTACATGCATACCTGAGCTAAGGGCAGATGGATTTAAGGAAGTAAATGCTACATGAATCATCTGCCCATACTCAAGATGGCCACTACCACAAATGCTGCGGGGGGTGAGCAAAGTGATTTCTAAGCAAAATAAAGCATGGAGAGATGGGGGGGGGGGGGGTTACTTTGAATAATAAAAAGTAATTAAATAGTGTTTTTGTTTATGATGCTCAGATTGCAATGTCGTTCTGCTTTACAGAAAATGAACAAGGGCATGGCAAATTGCTACAGTACACTTGCATAATTCAATTATGAATGTAACATGCACAGCAAAACGTTAACCCATATGTGCTAATTCAGGTTCAAAAAGTTAAAGCTGGAGGTGATATAATGGCTCTTGACCACCTGTCAAATGCTCTCTGAAGAGCAATCTGAATGTGAAAAGCTCTTCAGAGAGCAGTTCGAGTGAAAACAAGCCCAAAGCAATGAAATGTGCTGGCACCATTATAAGCAGCAAGTCAAAAAGATAAGCATCATGTTGTGTGAGAAAAATAGTCAGCATATGTATGGGTATTTGTTATTGGAAATCTGCTTATGCTTGCTGTGGTAACACACTGGGTATATGCAGCGTGTGTTATAACAGACAGGTGAAAGGTTGAATGAGGAACTGCAATCAGATCATTACAATTCTGCACCTAGTCACAGATTTTGATAACAGACACTCCAGTTACCCTCCACTAAAACCTGAGGTGCCGTGAACTTTTTTTCCACATATCCTTTCTAATGTCTTTTTTGCAAATTACAATTTAATATGGGATTCAAAAATGATATTCAAAATAGCAGTACCTGTTAAGCTTCCCTTCAAACATTTATAAGAACATTCGCCATTCTTAATGTATAAGGTGAGAAAACCAGTGCTTTATTTATTGCTGTAACCAAAATGTGTTTGTAGGATTTGTAGAAGAAACAAAAAAAATGTATTATATACATTTCTCAAACACAAACATCTGCAATGAAACATTTCAAGCAATAAAAAATTGTGACCAAATATAGAAAAATTACAAAAAAAAAACCCAGTAAAAATACAAAAAGGCAAATAAAATATATTTGAACAGAAATAAATTAAAATTTTTGCAACCTTTCAGGGAGTTTAAAACTTGGCATCATAAATATAGATGGCAATCAAATGTTACTTATTGCTAAAAACAGATGATGTTGGCATCTGAAATATATATCAACTACAACATTCTATGACATGAACAAAAACACACCATAAAGGAAAGTCTCCAAAGATATGCTAAACTTCCCATACATCAGTTGTTTTATGCTATATATTCTTCTGCTGGAGTATTGCAACAATGCAGAGTTTTCTTGCTGAAAACAAAAGACAATCAGGAAGTTGTCCAACTTTGAATATGGAGGATTATACTGCCTATCTAGGACTCAGATATGAGTAACCCAAACCTATATAATATGATAAAGGATATGAACATCTTGGGAATTTTCTTATATACGGACCCTTGAAAAAAGATCAGTCTTAAGCATTTTTAGAAGATCCACAAAAAGTATTGTTCATAAAATATCTTTGAAATCTGACAAATGCAGTATCTTACAGCTGGTACAGTACAGGTGTTTGGGTCAGTTACATCAGTATTGCTACTAAACAAAAACATAAAGATCTCACTTATTCTTGTCCATAACATTAAGCACCTCATCCAAAAGGGAAGGACCCAAGTCCAGCTGTAAAGTTAACAGAGAACCAGCCAGGTCAGAAAAACATTCTTCTGATTTTACATCAGTGTCCTCCATGTTGCTTGAAACAGGACTGTGTTCAAATATATCTAATCCTTGCCAGTCACTGTATTGTTCAGAGAGACTAGATGAATGGCTTGATCTTCCATTGGTAGAGCATGATGCTGAACCACTGACCTTCCATGTACTTCCACTGTCAAACTCATCTTCATTTTCATAAGGCTGACATTTTTTCTAGAATTTTTTCTTCCAAAACTGGCTCACAGCCATGTCTTGGTGACTTGTATGGGCTGTAAGAGTCTGTTTTGGAATTAAAAGTCACAGCAGATAACAATGGCAAGACTAAAGCTTGAGATCCTCCAATTGTTGGTAGGGATATTGCATTTTTAAGAACTGGTGAAGGGGAATCAGAATACATTGAGTCACAGGTACTGTTTGCCCTTAAGAATTCATTATGTCCATTCAAATGGCCACTTCTTGGATTGCCTTGGCTGCCTGGCAACAGTTCATAGTTGCCTTGAAGAAATGAGATGTCACCAAACACATCATGTTGCCCATCCTGGCCAATATGTATAGTGTGTCGAAAATCTCCTAAAGGTGGACTAATTAAATCAGATGACAACACATCTCTCAATTTGAACTTTTTGCCCTTTTTGTTGTTGCCAGTTTTTTAGATAAATTGGTGTCTTTGCAGGCATTTTTATGTTATCAGGAAAGCAAAGTGCAATGATCTAAAATTTATGTTGCAAGAAGGTCACATCTCTGGTTCTGCTGCCACTAAGGGTAATATCCCCAAAATGTTGCTTTCTGCAATTCCACTGTTCTTGCAGATGTTCTTTGTGACATTAATATAACGTGCTGCCAAAGTAAGACCACCTGCAGAGAAGAAAAATACATTATAATTAGTCATTTTATAGTTCATATTATTTTGTTTTCAATCAACAGTCTTGGTCTACAGATCAGGCAAATGGATCCCTCCACTGAACAGCATTAAAGAGTTTGATCTGTTGGCCTTTTTATGACTTCATAGGTTTAGGGCACCTTAGTTATACTATTTATCACTATAGCTACTATAATTTATACATATCAGTTAGCAACAATATAGTATAAATTAGTGTGGCAGCACATAATGCAGAAAATGCCGTACATACACAATATAACTAATAAAGTAATGTATTAGTTTTATTTTCTAAAAATATATATTTATTATATTTTCCTTCATTTATTTTATTTCTTTAAACATAAATATATTCTCTAGGTGCTTCAGACAAACCTAAAATCTGATGTTTCATGAAATTTGCCACCCTTAAGCCCTATTTAAAACCAAGCAAAAAAGTCAATGTGGTTTAATATTGTCTGTAGCTCAACACCTGAATCTCTAGAAGCTACACCTTTGGGGCAGAATTGGGAATCTTTGGCCTCATTGATTAGAATTGGAATGCCTTAAAACATCAAGCATTTTTTTTCACTTTTTCAACCAGTAATGCTTTCCATAGGCCATTACAAGAAAAAAAATGCCTGAAGCTTGAATACACATGTAAATTGCTTGTATATATGCACTTAAAAACACACGTAAATACTCAAACAATACATCTGAAAGCTGTCCAGATGTGAATGCAGCCTTAGACCTGTGTAACTTTATAATTTAAGGCCTCATGCACACAGGATGTTTTGAAAACTCACCTAGAAGCTTTTACTCCGGGCAGCAGCAGCATTTTTGCAGAAAAAACGTCTGACACTTATAAAAGTGTCTAACACTTTTACAAGCATTTAGGCGTGTTTAGAGGCATCAAGTGCTTGAGCGTTAATTAATTTTATTGGCCAGAATAATAATTTATTCTGGCTATTGAAATTAATTATTGCTCAAGGGCTAAAACTCGTCTAGCGTTAACATGTGTTTAGATACATTTACAAGCGTTTTTTTTTTTGCTAAAACGCTGCTGCTCCTGGATGCACTGGTAGTATTTTTTTTTTCCTGCCTCTAAATAATCAGTGTTCTACCAGCAGAGACAGCTCCCCCCATGCCCCCACCAGAAGAACACAATAGCTCCTAGGGACGGATTCCCCCATCAAAACTGAGTGTGTTGATGAGGGAATTGAGCAATTTTCTTTCCTGCAACCCGTGGTTCCAGGAAAGAAGATCATATCGTCTATAGCCTGCTTTAGAGATTACATAGTAGATATACAGCCTTAAGGCTTAGGGCATAGGAAGTGCACTGCTATTTATCAAGAATAATTTAAGACAAAAGGCAGACTTTTCATAGCTTGGCTTAGGCATAGTTTACAATTCTAGATTCCTAGATCTAGTTCCCATTTTAATTTGTTAGGTTCAGGTCCACTCTAAAGCAACATCTCGTTAAAAGTGTAAAGCGACATGGACTGACACCACAAAGTGCTCGTGCAGAACTTTTCACTTTAATTCCCAGAGCACCGCAGGTTTTCTATGTATTTCACACCAGAGCCATGCTGAGGTATTAAGAGGGGACAGATTGTGATTGTGTAATACCTATACTATGAAATTCTGAAAAAGATAGAAATACATAAAGGTGGTATTGCTAACTCATGGTACCTGTAGTTGTATGGCAATTTACACTTTTACAGGGATGTTCGATTCTTATTGCCCAATGCCCGGGACATGTAGTTCCGGATGCTGGGCAGGTAGTTTTCTACCTTTAGCCCTGCTCCTGTCAGGTGGAAGCATTCGGGCGGCAGTGCCAGACCCCCCCCCGAGGTCTCCCAGGCTCCACTTGCCCATCTGCGGTCCCGGGACCAGCTCACTACCATCGGCTAGAGGGGAGGGAGGAAAGCAGACAGGTCTCCTCCTCTCCCCTTCCTCTCCTGACCCAGAAGTGACATTGTGATGTTATTTCCGCGTCCTCGTTTAGAGATTTCCGGCCATGAAAGCCGAGTAAGAATGTAATGCTGTGCAATGTGAATGTGCATTACATTCAGTGTAGTACAGGGGAGACTTCGCCCCCTATGTGATGAAATAAAAAGTTTTTTTTTTATTGTAAAAAATGAAAGTTACACCCACAGCACATACCCCCCCCCCCCCCCAAAAAAAAAATTTACCCTACATATACGCATGTACAAACGTAAAAGCACACGCTGGGGCGCCTATGCATGAAAAAGTCTATGTCACATATTGCCGTGCACACCAGAATGAGAACAATAATTGTAGTACCAGACCTCCTCTGTAACGCTAAACTGATGACCTATAAGCAGCTTTAAAAGTGTCGACCTATAGAAAATATAGGGTACTGAAGTTCACGAGCTTGCACAAATTTAAGGTTTGACAAGTTGAATATCTATTTACTCGGTGCAACTTCATCTTTTATATTTTTTACAAAATAAATAGGGTAATTTATTGCTTTTTTGTGCCCTAAAATTAACTTGTTTGTATATTATACTGAAATTTTGCAGTAATATCATGCGATAAAAAACTAGAACTACCAGTATTTTATTGTCTAGGGTCTCTGCTTTCAGAAAGTATATAATGTTAGGGTTTTTTATGCAATCTTCAGGACTAAAATAATTTTTTAAACTTGTGCAAAAAAAATGCAAAAACAGCTCTGACAGCGAAAGGGATAAAGGATAGGCCCTGACCCACACTTTCCTGAGGAGCAGCCAATCGGTGCTCATTACACTGCAAGGTCTCTTCCCTTCCTGCTAATCCCTGGGTGCAATGCTGGAGACAGACAGGGAGGGGAGGAGGAGATAAACAGCGCAATGTTAAAAATATTAAAATGTTTAAGTCGCCATAAAGCCCCTTTTGTTTTTAAAAGTCCCAGACATTCCTAAAATCACCTCCGATTTAAATACAGTTTTTGTAAAAAAAATTCCCTTTTTTTTATCTAGACAAATAGATTGTCGTGAGGGACAAGCAGATTGGGGCACCGATTTAGTTCCCGAACAAGTAGTTTTCTCAAAAATTTCCACACCCGTTTTATAACATACTAACCTTGATATAATGTCTTAATAAAAATAACCCAAAATGACTGTCTAAAATGTAAACACAAAGATAAAAAAAAGAATTTTAATTACAATTACAGCAGATATGTGCAGAGTTAATCTGGACCAAGCATCCAGAGGCCAACAAACCAGATCACAAAAGAAATATGAACCTTGGATGCCGAACTTCCAAAATGGAAGCGCCCCTCACTGATACTATTGTGATACTCAAACGTCATGAGGAAGAAATTGAAGCCTTAAAAATAATAACACACACTGTTGAGAACTAAATTATATGATGCCATAACAGTAGATCTAACCTGCATGTGTTCTGCATGTGCTCTTCCAAAGGCATGCTCTGGAATTGTTTATTGAACACCTGGAAATGGACTGTGTCCTTCATGCGTTGGTCTAAAGGATTTGAAATGGCCCACAGTGCAATATTTATTGTTAATATGTTCTTTTACTTGTCTAAAGAATGGCTGCCTCTGTCTGCAGTTTGTCTTTTGTGGAACACGACTACTAACTCTTTTCTGATCTGGCTCCCTTTACAATCTCTAAACATAGAGAGTTGAAAACATATTTACAGATCTTTCAAACCTGCCAAACAAAAAAATAAATAGGGGTTTCTGTTAAAATATCCTTCATGTACTGCAGCCAACTAAATTACATGCCAGAAGAACCCATGGTCTGCTTGCAAGCCTTTAGCCTGTCAACACCAGATCCTCCTTCTACTGCCTCTGACCCAGAAAGCATCCCATCCTAGCACCTTCTACACAGAGAACATAAAGACTTTGGGCTTCCAGGAGAAATTTGTTTTAGCAATGACACCTGAGGATGAGTATGTTTTATTCTCTTTTTAATTAAACACACAAAGGCATAGAGCCAGGATCGTTACAGGGAGTAGCTACAGTGTCTTGAAAAATATTCATACCCCTTGAAATTTTACAACCAAAACTTCAATGTATTTTATTGGGATTTTATGTGATAGACCAACACAAAATGACACATAATTGTGAAGTGAAAGGAAAATGATAAATGGTTTTCAAAATTTTTTTATAAAGAAATATCTCAGAAGTGTAGCGTGCATTTTTATTCAGCTCATCAACTTCCCATCAACCCTGACCAGCTTCCCTGTCCCTGCTGAAGAAAAGCATCCACACATGAAGCTGTCACCATGTTTCATGGTGGGGATGGCGAGTTCAGGGTGGTGTGCGGTGTTAGTTTTCGCCACACATAGCATTTTGCTTTTAGGCTAAAAAGTTACATTTTGGTCTCATCTGACCAGAGCACCATCTTCCGCATGTTTGTTGAGTCCCACACATGGCTTCTCGCAAACGGGTCTTCTTATGGCTCTCTTTCAGCAATAGCTTTCTTCCTGCCACTCTTCCATAAAGGCCGGATTTCTGTAGTGCACAAGTAATAGTTGTCCCATGGACAGATTCTCCCACCTGAGCTGTGGATCTC